ACAGAGCGACACGTGTCGACATCAAAAGTCAATCATAGCGCGACACGTGTCAACATCGGAAGCCAATCACAACACGACACATGTCAATGTTAGAACAAGGCTAGAAACTCTCTTTTATAAAAGGAGATCATTCTCCCACAATATTCCCTAATGTCATTTGTACTAAATCATTCACTTGTACTTACAAAATGAGAGTTTGAACCTATGTACTTATGTAAACCCTTCACAATTGATGAGAACTCTTCTACTCTGTGGATGTAGCCAATCTGGGTGAACCACGTACATCTTGTGTTTGCTTCCCTCTCTCTATCCATTTACATAATTATCCACACTAATGACCGAAGCAATCTAACGAATGTCACAAACTTAACACTTTCTGTTATGCCAAAGTCCTCACTGATTTTGTGCATCAACATAATACGATCCAAACTAAAGAGCACTTCTTCGCTCCATACAATTAAGGAGCTATTGATTTGATTTGTTTGGAGTCACGTATTTTTCACGAGTTCAGAACTTATTACCTCCGAGGTTTTAGTTTTCCATCACTTTTGCATAACTTCATTACATTTTTCAATAAGTTTTGAATGTTGAATCAGGCCTTTTTCTAAAAAAAAACAAAAAAACAAAAAAACAAAATATGCTAACTCTTATCATATTTTTCCTATAATATTTGTACTATCTTTCTAATAGAGATATGACCTATATGTATTAGTGGGTCCTATCTTTATTAAAGATGTGATACAAATGTAGTAAGTGAAATATTACTCTTTTATTTATCTTAACCATTGAAGTGACATATATCAAGATTCCAATAAGAGAAAATTAATGAAATGAGTAAGTCTATACTTACCACATTTGCAACATTTTCAAATAAAGTTAGGATTCACCAACACATGTGAGTTTATCTCTATTACAGCAAGTCCACCTCATCCGAATGGCCCAACCAATTAGGCAATTGAATTCCCAAAATCTGAAAAATTCTCTCCACCCCAGCCAAATTAGTCGGGCTACTTGTGGCTGTAATACCCTGAAAAATTTAAAATATATGATTATGTGGAAAAAAATTTATCGGAAAGTAAAAAGACGAAAATGTCTCTCCTTGACTAAACGTAATTTTATGAGGAAGTATTTTATCCTTATATATTTTATCGTATTTCTAAATATATTTGAATAGAGAATGACCCAATGAGCGCGTAGGTGCAAACAGATCCTAATTCCGAGTTAAAACGAAGAAGTTACGAGCCTCGAAAGTAGTGAGACTTTTTAAACATGTGGCCTTACTACTAGTAGAGAGTCTACAACAACAACAACAACAACAAAGCCTTTTCCCACTAAGTGGGGTCGGCTATATGAATCCTAGAACGCCATTGCGCTCGATTTTGTGTCATGTCCTCCGTTAGATCCAAGTACTCAAGTCTTTTCTTAGGGTCTCTTCCAAAGTTTTCCTAGGTCTTCCTCTACCCCTTCGGCCCTGAACCTCTGTCCCGTAGTCACATTTTCGAACCGGAGCGTCAGTAGGCCTTTTTTGCACATGTCCAAACCACCGGAACCGATTTTCTCTCATATTTCCTTCAATTTTGGCTACTCCTACTTTACCTCGGATATCCTCATTCCCAATCTTATCCTTTCTCGTGTGCTCATACATCCCACGAAACATCCTCATCTCCGCTATACCCATTTTGTGTACGTGTTGATGCTTCACCGCCCAACATTATGTGCCATACAACATCGCTGACCTTATTGCCGTCCTATAAAATTTTCCCTTGAGCTTCAGTGGCCTACGACGGTCACACAACACGCCGGATACACTCTTACACTTCATCCATCCAGCTTGTATTCTATGGTTGAGATCTCCATCTAATTCTCCGTTCTCTTGCGAGATAGATCCTAGGTAGCGAAAACGGTCACTTTTTGTGATCTTCGCTAGATTGCTCTGGTCATTAGTGTGGATAAGTATATAAATGGATAGAGATAGGAAAGCAAACACAAGATGTACGTGGTTCACCCAGATTGGCTACGTCCACGGAATAGAGTTCTCATTAGTAGAGAGTCTATAATTACTAATTAGTCACCCTGAAATTAGAAGGTTTTCACTTCGGGAAACCTGGTGAAAATGCCCAAATAACCCAGAAAAACCTCAATTTGTCCTCTCGCGACCTCCCATTTTTCGAGGTCGATTCCGGCCAATTCAGGTGGAATTTTTCGACGCCACCACTACCATCTTGAAGATCTCACTCCCCTCTACATAATACCACAAACCACCTTGATTAGCCACCGTATGTGGCGGTGTGAGGCCATAAAACCCGATGAAAACCAATGGTTCTCCAGCCACCCTTTTCATTTTTCCAGTGAATCGGCAAAGCGATGGCCAATACCACAACTTGGGTTTTGTAGCTCATCATCCCAGGAGTAAATCCCGACCAGCTTTGATTCCATTGGACCACCGTGGGCGACGAATCGACACTGGGAAGCTTTAGACACCAGCCAGTTTTATCAGCGGAATTGACCCTCTTCCGTCCACTTTTGGACTTCGTGGTAGATATAAAACTTGTTCCTCTTGTTGGGCTCTATCGTCCTGTAAATTTTGGTAGAATTTGGAGTTAGACAAAAAAATGGGTTTTCAGTCGTCGGAAACCACCACGCGCAGCGGCACGTGGGGGAAAATCTGTTTACATGGATTTTGGACAGTGAGACATCCTTGATGTCTTGAGCCCATATCCAAAGTCCGTTCGTTGAAATTTGATGCGATGATTCGAATATTCAAATTTTTCGAATAATTGTATCGCCGTACGATTTTTCGTAATTGACGACCATTCAACCGTTGGATCGTCACCAAACTTAGAGACATTATAGTACATAATATTTGGAGACCTTAGGAACTTACGGACCAGGAATCCAACGTATGGATCTTCCCGAATTGGATTTGCAAGTTAGTAAATTAAAACGTCGACTGCCACTCGAATGTTGTGATTGGCAGAGATCTGACCGTTGGATTGAAATGAAGTTTTAGTATGTTGTTCTAGAAGCGTAATGTGAACTATGAATGGTTTGATCCCTTAGTAGAGTACGTAGACAATATAATGAGAATGTTAGATGCAGCCATAATAAAATACTTGAGATAAATATTTTAGTGAAATTTGCTAAGAAAATGAATTTGGGGCCTATCTTAGTAATTAGCTTCTGAATTAGAAATTTCGGGTCGTTACAGTGGCCTTACACAACCCGACTGAGCAATCGAGTGAGGATAGCCTAAGAGCAACTCCAGCGTAAGGAAGACCCCTTGGGGAAACTTCCTATTCAATCCCCTCCAATGAAATAATTGTCTTTAATGAACAGTCATTACCTTTTGCATTTCCACCCCTAAACTGAATAGTCATGGCAATAGGCAATAAAATATTAGTATTTTTTATTTTATAAAAAATAAAAAGAAATTTTATTTGTAATTTTGGATAGAATTTTTAATCGGTCACATTGTACCAAGTGTCATTAAATAAGAAATTACAACCCAATGTATTTGAGAAAATATAAAATTGTGGTGTAAGATGGAAGATAATGATAAAATATTTATAGAAAAATTAAATCAATTTTTTTTTTGAATTTTTTAAATTTTTTCGAATTTTTTATTAAATTTTTACATTTTTCAAGCGGCTTTGTAGTATACAGTGACGGAACCAGGATTTCATGTGAGGCGTAACATTTCACAAATGTTAAGGTGATACTATCCACACATTCATTTTTATCTCTCACACACATCTCTCAATTTTCTGATAATTTAACTAAAGTGTGTGAGAGGTGAAAATGATGTGTGAATAGCACTACCTCAAATGTTAAAAAAAAATCTAAACAGATAGTATCTACAAAATTACAAAAAATAAAATAAAACAAATATAATATGATACGAGTCCAAAATAATAAATTCATCGATAATAATTCACAACAATCATACTTGTACTCGACGAATTTTCATATTTTGAAACCGTATCATGATAGACTCGTCATCTATACTATTTAAAATATATTTATCAATATAAGTAACCAAACAATTATTTATCCACAAAATCACCCATTCAATTGTATAGGTTGCTCTTCACAATATTGCAAAAATACTCGCTCAAGTTTACAAATCCAAAATAAATTTGATAATCAATTAAAAAAAATTGCGATAGATCAATTTAACAAAAAAAAAAAAATCATAATTTAAACAAATAATTTGCAAGAGAGATGAGAGAGTAAAATACAAATATTAGTGTAAAAATTGGGATGCGAAACGAATTTGAAAGGCTGCAGTAGAGAACAAGTAGGCTAAAAATAAAGTGAGGATGGGCCTAGCCCCACCCTGGTCCCTTCTTCCCTCCGCCACTAGTATATATAGGCAATCGAGATTGATGGAGCAAACACTCTTCTATAACTAGTGACGAGCTAGCAATAGAAATGAGTAAGCCTTCTCTAAGACTGCAGCTTACTAAGCTTGTTTTTTACCATGTTCTACTTTGGCAACTTGGACACTGGCCTCAATCCAAATGCCACTGTAGAGCCGACGTGGCTCGACTGCCGGATGATGAAGGTATTCATTACCAATTTCACTCTCTCTATTTTAATCATCAACTAACTTTCTGAGTATATCGCCTTCAAGCATGATTATATATAACCCAAAGTGGATCACAAACACATGTTTAATTAATTAATTTCAGCTAAGAGGCTTGATCATCGTACTTATTAATTACTTAACGAAATATTGGCAGTGAATGCTCTTAGTGTCTTTATGAGCAACTTAGAGCTAAGGCCAGAGCAAATCATTAAAGGGACATATTGCAGTGATGTGGTCTGGACTTACGGTTTTATCATCGAATGTCATTGCGCTAACGTGAATGAATGCCGAATCACTGGAATGTATGTATGAAACAATATTTCACATATACACGTTAAATCTTGTTTAATATATATATATATATACACACACACACACACATACATATAATTAATTAATTAATGGTATACTAACCTTTTTTTTGTGTGGACTCATTTTGTGTGGCAGTAGAATGAGCTACTTAGGTTTAACTGGAACTATTCATGAAAGTGTGGGTAATCTTAGAAGCCTAACCTACCTGTACGTTAATCTCACTCTTTGTCTGCCTACCAATCTTTAATGTAATTTCAGTTGTTTATGTTATATTGCAGACTTCATGACAACTCTGGGGTGTAAAAAGAACTACACTTCACAAAAATATTCATTGAGCAAGGGTTTAAAGAAATTATAAGTTCAATCTAATTAAATTTTGTTTTTTTTTTCTTTCTTTCAAATATCATATCAAAAGCATTCTATCCAACAACACACTTCATGGCGGAATACCAGATACCTTTGGGAAATTGAAGAATCTCCAAGTCCTGTAAGTAAATATTGTTGGAAATTTATATTATAATATTTAATTTCAAAGATTGAATGAAAAAATATATGTCACTGACGCAAAAGTGCATATAATTAGGTTTCTTAATAAAACCAAATAGTGAAGCAGTACCATTATGCAAAAGACATGACTGTTGTAATGGTGTATGAATTAGATGAAGGAAAATACTTGGCTGCTGAACGTTTCAGCAGGAGTTCTTGCTGAAACTTCAACAACCAAGCAGCGTTCTTAGATGAAAAGGTGGCATCAATTCATGAGCAGCCACTACAACCATTCCTAGAAGTCACTTGGGTTCTTTATAACTCTTAATCACAGCCGTGTAAAAGCAGAATGAGACAGAGAGTTAATTAGATCGTACTGGACATAAGAGTATTTCTTTGTACTCTATATTTTTTCTTTGTTGTTCAATTTTGAGTCGTGTCTTAAGAGTATGAAATATATAAAGTTCGTCATAATCCGAAGATTGCAGTGTTTCAACTTCGGATTATAGATTGTTGAATCCTAGGAGATGGACACCTACCGAACTATAAGCACAAGAGTAGGGGTGAAATTCTATCTTTAGGACATTGCATTTATACAAGCCTCAATCTCCAAGTTTGTCAATCTTTCTTAATTTCTCTCTAGTTGTTTATATTAATTTTGTACATAATTTATGTTGTGAATTTTTGTATGATTATTATCATTACAGTTCTTTTATTATTTTTATATTTTCTAATATTGCTCCAACAAATATATACTAGATAGTTGTACATTGAAATACATTGTTAATCAATCAACTGGATGCTTTAGTACGTACTTGTGAAAATTAGTGTTTTGAATTGGGGTTCTCTGTATAAAGGGATCTATCGCAAAATCAACTCAACGGTTCAATACCAGCAAGCTTAGGGAGCATGGTTTCTCTTCGATGGCTGTAAGGGCTTGATGTCGCAAATTTAATTATGGAGAGTCATCTTGATTAATTTCCGTTAATTGTTTTTGTTAAAATTCTTATCAAGTCATTTTCACGCTCTATGTATAGATATCTGCAATACAACTTGCTTAGCGGAGATATACCACGAAGTTTTGGTTCACTGGCGAATCTTACTGAATTGTGAGTACATTAATTAATTATTTATTTTCTTATTCTCCTCCACCTCATCATGATTTTAATTTGTGATACATTAATTCATTTCATGCATGCTTTACTTTCTCGGGCTTTTGCAGGAATCTGCAGTTCAATATGCTATCAGGCTCAATTCCTGAGGATTTTGGAGATCTTTCGAGTCTTAAAATTATGTTTGTTCTTTGCTTACACCACATATAATTATACTTATAGACTTGTGATTTTATTTGCATGCATGTTTAGATAATAAATATATATATATATATATATAATCTTCTAAAACATTAATTCTAAGAAGTCTTTTCTCATTTTTTCCGATAGGGATCTGTCTGAGAATCAGCTCTCTGGTCCTCTTCCAGAAAGCCTCGGAAAGTTGAAAAATCTCACAATCCTGTAAGTTTAATTGAAAAAAAAAAAAAAAAAAAATCCTCATCGCTTAAAAACTAAATAAAATAGAAATAATAATCAAGAGTTAATATGCAAAAGTAGTCAACATAGAAGTGTCTCTTTCATTGTTGCAGCTATGTGTCAGCCAATTATTTGAGTGGGAAATTTCCAGAAACTTATGGAAACCTCACAAGCCTGAAAAAGTTGTAAGTGTTCACTCCTGTCAATGATTAATTTGAGGGTTGCCACACATTAATTAAATAATTAAGAGAATATGATGGTGACTGGTGAATGCATGCAGTTCAATAGCCGGGAATTACATTTCTGGTCCCTTACCAGTTGAAACCATAGCCAACTGGACTACTATCACACAACTGTAAGTAATTTTTAGCTTTACACTTAGCAGGTAGTAATTTTAAGGTTTCTTAAAAAGACAAATTTTTTACACGGCGTGCAGGGTGCTCGTGGGAAACAATTTCGAAGGAAAGTTGACTGAAAAAATATTCGGCTTGCAAAAGCTTCAGCATCTGTATAGGACATCTTCCTCTTTCTTTCACTTTGCTGGTTCTATAATATATATATATATATATATATATATATATATATATATGAGAGACTTTGGATGCGGTCCTTATCTATCAATAGTATTTGATTAAAACCTTGTTGATTTTCAATTTTTGATCTAAGTTCCTAAAATTAATGTGATAATTTATTTCTATTTATGTTACTATATTTTTTAAATTAAAAATTAAAATTTATAGTTGTTTATGTTAATGAGATTTTAAATAAAAACCCATAATTTGTGGGATTAAAAATATTAAAATATAAATTATACTATTGTGTGTGTGTATACATGGGTACATTCATCAAAATTAACAAAAAATTATTGTACCCAAACATGGGTACATTCTTCAAAACCACACAAAAAAATAATAGATATTAGGCTTAATAACATTAGTAAATTTTTTTGATAAAGCTTAACATGGATACATTCTCAAATCAAAGAAAAATAATGTATCCATATAAGTTTAAAAATGGATTAGAAAAAAATTTAATAGATTTTATATAAAAAAAAAGGTACATTTTTTTGCTAGCAAAAAAGGGTACATTTTACATATAACAAATTGGTATATTTAAGAATGGGTACATTTTAAGATTAAAAATTTGAAAAAATTACATAAATGGGTACATATAAGATTAAAAATTTGAAAACACTTTTTAAAAAGCTAATGGATACAAACTTATTTTAATTTTTTATTTATTTTGGAAATGTTTTGGATTAAAAATTAGTTAGGAGTTTAATAAAGGTGTGAGTATTAAAATCCTAAATCAATTATTAATTTTTATTTTAAAAAATTATGTAACTAACATGTAAATTCATTATTGCATTAATACTAGGAACTTGGATCAAAATCTGAAAACTAATAAGGTTTCAATCAATGAACATTAGTAATTAGGGATCACATACTAATTTTTTCTATATATATTATGATTAGAGGTTGAAAATGTATATATATTTATTCCTCAGCAGGTTGATAAGTGACCTGGCAAATAATAGTTTCCAATTACCACTAAAAATCGCCAACAGTACCAATTTCATTTCTCTGTGAGTGGTTTGTTGTAATAATTGCTTCTAGCCCAGTTTGTGCCCAAAGGCTTCATTTTTCATTCTTCACGTTGGTTTTCTACAGAACACTGAGGAACTGCTCAATCACCGGCCCAATCCCCAAATACATTGGTGAAGAAATGACATCTCTAAGATACCTGTAATTTCACTTCACTTTTGTAATTTTGCTTTTGGAGTTGTCCTGTTAATTTGGCTGGAAAGAAAATTGAAACAGTTTTAGGGCTTGTTTAATACTCATTAGCGCTTATGCTATAAGTGGTTTCATTAAAAAAACTTTAGTTCTAGAAGTGGTTTCATTAAAAAAACTTTAGTTTTTTATTATTAAAAGTTTAAGTGATTTCGTGTAAAAGTATTTGGAAGTGTTTCTTGAAAAAACATATGACGTGCACTATTTTTTTCAGAACACACTTTTATGACTGAAAATCATTTATTACTTTTTGTGACAAACGCAGTCATAACTGATTTTAACTGCTAGAAAGTACTTTTAGCCATTATAGAAGTAATCTCCTACAAACCCTTAACCTCATCATCGGACTATTAATTAAGCACCGTTTGATATATCTTTATATTTTTTTATTTCACAATATATAGCCAATTACACGGAACCAGAATTGAGTTTATTTTTAATACCATTGTTGATCAATACTCCCTTAATGTTAATCCTCCTTGTGTTTTGTCTTGCAGAGACTTGAGCTTCAATAAGTTAACTGGTGGCCTCCCTCAGACTATGAGTTCAAATATGATTGACATGTAAAGGAATAACATTCTTAACTAGAAGAATTTAGATTAATTACAGGTCTGAGTCTTGTTAATTACATGCGTTAATATGATATATACGCTTAATTATGTTCAGGTCTTTTTCTGGAAATATGCTTGACGGGACAATCCCACCTTGGATACATGGGTCCTTCCAAACTAGGATGTATGTCTTCATATTCTGAACCGAAGTTAGAAGAACTTTCATTTGTAACAGCTTTAAGTTTTTGCTCATATGTACAAATTAATTAATGAGACTGACGCATGTTATGTTATCTTTTAGAGATCTTTCGTTCAACAATTTTTCAGCAGGAGGCTCTCTAGTACTAAGCAACCCACAACTGTGAGGATATGTTCTTTCTTGTCCTTAATGTTTCTGTTGACGAAATTGAATGGTTCTACTTCCACATTACACTACTAATTGCATCGAGGCATTTTGTTTAAAACTCCACAATTACTGTTGCACATCACTTAAGTTGGGGGCAGTATCAATTATAAAATATTTTGTTTCATGACCTTAACTTTTATTCAGGAACTTGTTTGCATGCTGCCGCAACTCCTCAACCAATGAGCAAGTAATGTATGTTTTTTTCCTGTTGTATTAGTAAGAGACTCAATCATCAGAACCTTCTATAACATATTGGTATCTACTTTCAGGATGGAGAACAGATACTGTCCTGAAAACAATCCAAAGTGTAAGTTTATTCTTCGCAGCCTGAAAATTACAAACTAAGATCTTGTTTGACAGCTCGAACTGTACTGATTATTTTAGTTAGATATGATCAAATGGTACTGACTAAATTAATCGGATATTTGGTGTAGTATTAGACTAATAAATAATACGGCCTTTGGTACTGTCCCAAATAAAGAGTTCGAATTATTATTAATTTTATTAATAAGAAATAAGAAAAAAAGGACAAAAAGAAAACCCAAATTTGTGATGAAATATTCTGCCTCCAAATAATTTTTTTCTTTTAAACTTTCTTATTAATATATTTTTTTAAAATTAAAAAACAGAAACAAAAAATTCAGCGCCCTTGTCCACCCCACACCCCAACAAACACCATCGCCACACCACCCTCAATCAAATCCGGCGACAAACACCATACCCACCCCCACCCTTAGTCAATTCGTGAACACTTCAATTGCTGAACACGGCTTCTCGCCACCGCATCTTCCCCAACCCAGCAAACCGAACAGAGTTGCTCACAATTTTGCATTTCCAAATCGAAAGAAGCTCTAAACACAAAAAGATGGGTAAGTTTGTAAAACCCTTTTCTAGAGGACGAAACGAAGCCGCTGCAAAGACAGAGAACCTGCTTCATCATCACTTTCACCATCCTCCTCAAATCTGTAATTAGGGCATCAATTCGTCGATGGTGCGGTCGTCGGCGAGGCATCGACTGGTCTTTAGCAATGCCTTGTGGTTCGCCAAGGACACGGCGTCAAGAGTTGGTGGTGGGTGCGGTGGATCGAGGGGACGGAGAGAGCGAGCAAATTCCTACCCGACTAAATAATACAGAGGGTTTAGAGTGTGTTAGTTATACGGTGTGGGCAGTATATAATAGGTGAGGTCAGGATAATTAATTTGAAATCTATTTAATATGGAACATCACCAAACAACCGGATTCGTGTAATTACTTTATACGTGTGCCAAATGAGACCTTAAATGTTGCAGAATATGATATATGTTATTTTTTTCTTGCAGACCATTCCTTGTTTATTAATTGTGGTGGTGGAGAAACAACTGTTCGTGGGAATAAATATGATCAAGATAATGACACGTCCCTCTCTTACACAAGTCCAAAGAAAAACTGGGCTTACAGCGTTTCTGGAGGCTATGGTGTCCCAGAAAGTAATACTAGTAATTACATCAGGAGCATGACATGTGGAGTTCCCATTACTGAGGCACCGTTGTATGAAAAAGCTCGGCTTTCCCCGGTATCTCTCAAGTATTATGCTTTTTGTCTGCGCAAAGGCAATTACACTGTGACGCTTTATTTCAATGAAGTTGTATACACGAAGAATGAAGATTATACTAATTTAAGAAAACGTGTATTTGATGTATATATTCAGGTAACAGTTTATTTTTTTAGTCAAGATCACAATCACATCATTCTACTTTTATTTATTGGATCATCTTATTTTAAGTAAATTGTGTTGCAGGATGTGAGGAGACTAAATTATGTCAACATTAGAGAGAAGAAGGGAAGTGAACCAATAACTGAAAATATTTCAGCTGTGGTTGTAAGTGATAGCGGTCTATTGAATATCCACTTTTACTGGCCTGGAAAGGGATCGTATCAATACCAGCCTAGTTTTAATGGACCTCTAATATCAGCTATTTCTGTGACTCCTGGTAATACTTTATTCCGTTATTCGATTTCTTTTTAATTTATTTTGTTCAAATTAACACTCATGTATTATTATACTTTTCCCACTAATTTCAGAGTTCAAAATTAGTTCCGATAAAAATAATGGTCAACGTGTTGCATTGATTACGCTCGCTTCAATTGTTGCTGCTCTGCCGCTTTCATTGGCTTTTGCTTGGAAGATGGGCTGGCTGTCAAGCGAAGAGTTCCGCAGTAAGTCTATAAGCTGAATACTAAGCTATAATTAAATACTGTATTATGCTCTGCAATACGAGAATATAGGGATAGGCAATCTTGAACCCGCGGGTAGGGGCGGGTACTAGCAGCTCGGGGCGGGTTCATATTTTTTTATATCACAACAGGGCTGGGCGGGGCGGTTCCTAATTCCTGAAGACAGAGCCCCCGGCCCCAACCGTACCTAGTGTCTTTTGGTGGAGATTACATCTATGCCGTTCAAATCTCACACACACGGATACCGTTCACCTTCGCAAAAGACCGACTCCCAGACTGAATGATGAATCTTCTGATTCTTCTCTCCTCAGCCTTCCCTCTAGTATGTCGATCGTCAATTCTCACTCTCCTCCCTCACGATCTCTCTCTCCAAGAGTCCAGACTGACTCTTCCCACTTGAATCGCGATAGTTGAGATACCGCAGCTTCTCAGAAAAAGAAAACTTCGGGTTTCTGTTATTAAAAAAAGGTATATTCATGTTTTTGTTACAAGGAAACGATAGCCGAGATATATTCATGATAAAAGGTCCTTACAAGGCCAATCAAGGCAAAGGAGGTCTTTACAAAGCCAATCAAGGCAAAAGACTAAACCATGCGAGGCGATGAGCAGCTTCATTGGCCTGGCGATGAGAATGGGTAAATGAAGCTTCAGTGATTGTTGGGAGAAGATCCTTGATATCCTCTATAATCTGCCCGATATGGGAAAGATTAGTAGAGGAGTCCCGAAGAGCCTCCAAAATCAGAAGCTCATCAGATTCGAAAATAACATTATCTAATCCCCTTGCTCTCGCCCAAACCAAAGCGGAACGAAAGGCCACAGCTTCTGCCTGAATGGGAGAAAAAATGTCAGGGCAGTTTCCGGCTTTGGCAGCCACAAAGATGCCGAAATGTCCCTGATAATAAGACCGAACCAGCCCAGCTTAAGATCAGAGTTCCAAGATCCATCAATGTTCATTTTGATGGAGCCCGGATGGGGCACTGACCATCTGCAAAGAGGAGGTGGTTCACGTGTGGAGCATTAAGACAGAGTGAAATCCCCCGAATGGATCCCTCATTTTCCAATTTAGCGAAAAGGGTCGAGAGACCCTCAGTGCATAGAAGGAAAAAGGTAAGGAGATATGGCGTCTCCTTAGCGCAGACCATGAGAGGGATAAAGATAACCTCTGACGACCATTGATGATATAAGAATAGGAGACCCCAAGATACGCACACCATTAATAGATCGATCCACTTGCTAGAGAAACCCAATTTAGCTAGGATTCCCCTAAGGTAGTTCCACTCAATCAGATCATAAGCTTTGCTAATGTTCAATTTTAAAGACATGAGTTTGTTCGTCCCACGACGGCGCTTGTACAAATGACGTGAAATTTTCGATGCCAGAATAATATTATCGGTGATGTTATGCCCCGGAGCAAATGCGATTTGGGTAGAAGTGTGATGCAATTGAGGATGAGGACATGCTCACAAACCCCGGGTCCACACAGCTAATCTGGGTCAAGGGGTGGGGAACCAAGTGTCGGACATTTCAAGGATTACAGACTGCCTCAGAAGAGCAGGAAATGTCTCCAGCCAGCTTAGACCATTCTGCCAGTTCATTGTCCTTTCTCAATTTTAAAAACCTATTCGCCGAAATATCAGCCTTATCGTCCGGCAGCCCATAAAAGCCACCGATTCCACAATCCCACTTGCGCCTCCACTGACCTTCGTCTGCACCGGACCGAGGGGCTGTTGATTTTCTGGGGAAGAGAAGGGAAGGGAACTCGCTCTAGATGGTGGTTGGGCTCGGAGAGAATCATTATATCTGCTTTCGCCGAACGACAAGGCTATAACAGGGCTAGGGCAACCCCTAGAGTGTCCAAGACGACCGCAACCGTAGCAAAAGATCTGAGACCTTCGTATTTTCAGCCGAATCAAGTAAGATCCTCGGATGGGGCATGGAAATGAGAAACGGATATGGAGGGGTTTGTTGGTTTCGAAGTCCACCTGCAATCGAAGGAAACCACGAAACCTAGTTTTTCATGGATCATTCACTTCAAAAACCGAGCCAATTTTAGAACCCTAGTTTCTGGTGTTCTTCTGTGTACAGTGACTTCTCGGGATTCCATGAGCCTGAATCCAGTAAATGGCTCGGTCAGCGTCAATGTCATCCAGAGAGTGGTAAGACGGCCACAGTTTCACAAAGAAGTTGTAATCTTTCAGAAACCAAGGATTTCCTTCCAGGAGTTTCCTAGCCACCTCCTCCTCCCCAACAGTACTAGCATATATATTTTCCTTCGCACAGGACGCGAACTACGCCCATCTTGTTCCAGGTAGAGCGCAAGATTTCCTTAAACACATTTTGGATGGTTCATTGTCCGCAATGAGCCTCCCCACAAGATGGATGAAGTTGTCAAAACGTTCTTCCAAGTCAAGGCTGTCCTCGATAGTGATATTAAGGCAGTCAATCAGATCAGCATCCGCATTCAACATTGCTAGAAACACAAATCCACAGGGGATACAAAAGAAAGCTCACGCCAGTGGGGCGAAGATAGAGAGAATTACACGCCAATCCAGGCTTAACCTATGCTGGCAAAAATTAAGTTCAAATTGTCATTCATAAATCATAATGGACCTCCTCCAACCTTGGAGTAAAACTTAAAATTTAAGTTCTAAACTTAGCCCAATTTGTTCCAACCCTAGGCCAAATATGAGTTGTAACCCAGAACTCTTTTTCAGAGCAAATTTAAACCAATATTCCCCCTGTGTTGGTGGGCTGGCCCATCATATATATGTATTTTTTTAGTTTTATATTTATAAATTAATTAAATTCAACGGTTAAGATCTAATATGATCAAATCCAAAGATAAAAATAAAAAGATTTAATAGTCCAAATTTAAATCCAACAGCTAAAATAATTATAAAAAAGATCTTTCATGTGTTTCATATTCTTTCATAATGTTCCACGAGTTTCATAGTGTTGGTTTAGTGTTTTTTCAATATTTACCGGAATCTAAATATTTTTAGGTTAGAATGTTCATAAAATTAAATTAGGATAGTCTACATAACTTTTTTTTAAGTTACCTTAAGAAAAAAAGTATCCTAAATTCATTATTTAATAATCTCGGGCTAAAAATTTAACCAAAAAAGGTTGGTGCAGAAAAACTGTTTCTTGGTTAAAACCTAAATTTTCTGAATTAAAATTTTAGATTTTTACCCAAGGATTGGAGATGGTCTTATAAATATTAAGGTTTTGGTTTTGGTTTGAAAATTTTCCTTTTTTTTTAGTCAAATTAGATTTCACGCATTCCCCGAATGAGTCATACACTCCATGATTTTTTAATTGCAAGAATTTTTTTAGTTTGCTCAGAACACGAAGTACGAAGTGGTACACTATATTTCATTATATAAATGAAGGAAAATTTTATTTTGTTTTCAAGTATCAAAATTCATCTATTTGGATTAAAACACAATTGTCATGTTATGGCAGAAAATATTATAGTTCTAACTTCAATACAAATTTTTTTTTTTGTCAAAGGTAAATTCATTAATAACACAACGACTATACAACACAGGAGGCTCAATTACAAGTCAAGTACAAAATAAAAATGAGCCCTCCAAGCAAAACAAAGCCCAAAAAACTTGGGCCCAAACAGAAAAACAAAGAAGAAAACCACCATCGTCGACCGGAACCACCATCCTGCACCACCATCCCCGACAAAAACCAGAGCTTCAGCTAACCGATGTCCCATAAGTGGTGGAAAAGAAAGCTCCAATCTTCCTCCATCAAGCACCAAATATATCTTAGCCACAAATTGTGGTCTAAGCCACAAATTTAATGAAACCAGAGGGAAGGAGATCCCACCAGTAACAGTGCCAATAAAGGCATACACATGGACGGTGGTGGTGTTTCCATTGAAGCCAGAGCTGTGCACACCTTTCGAGAGGTTTGCGACAAGTTACGTGAAGAAAAGTGGTATGTAGATCCGAAATAGAGTGAGATAGAGGAAGGACAGAGCAAGGTGTGATTGAAATGATGGTGAATGAGTAGAAATAGGGAGGTGGACGGGAAACATAGATTGGAAGAAGAGAAATGCAAGCTAAGGAGCACACATAAAATAAAAGAAGAAAACGAGAAACGGGAGACAGCCACCAACCCTGGACTCAGCCAGGGCCGGCAACGAAAGAGGGAGGAAGAAATTAACAGCAAACTCTCAAAAGGGTAGAAGGAACTCTCACGAAGAGGAGAGACAACAAAAATAAAAAAAACTAAAAAAATTTACACACAATTATTTATTTTGTTTGTGGCTAACAAATTTTACACACAAAACAATTGTATTTATTTCCTTTCTATACAGGCACCAACTAATGTGCCCATTTGGCACAAATATTTTTCTTAGACATATTTTTCAAAAAATTAGACTCAAATATATCATTTGTGTTTATATTTTACTTCAAAAGACACAATTACTTATTGTTATTATTTTTTAAAGACTTATGGCCCACCCACAATTATTTATTTTAAGAATTTTTAAGGAGATGAAATCTTCTGCACCCATAAAGCCTTGTGGTCTCTCTATGACTTCTCTAAAAATGTGACACGTGTCCACCCACTTGCTAACCTTAACTCTATTTACTGATCTGTTATCTCCTAAATTTTTTGAGTAATGCTATTCTTACCACAATTTTATACTACATTTCTTTACCATCTTAGGTGGCAGATGAGTTGGACAAGCGACATCATTTAATTTCAATCTTTTTATTAATTAAAATGCTTAAATAATCTTAGGTGGAAGAATGAGACTCCTCGTATACTACAATCATCATTTAATTAACAATCTTTTTATTAATTATTGATTAACATTTTGAAATTAAATGCTAATTAATTTAGATGATGTGTTATCCACATCAGATGTCACCTAACATTTTTTTAACAATTGTATACCATCTTAGGTGGCACCTAACATTATTGTTAAAAAAATAAAATTATTGTTAAAAAAATAACATTATTGTTAAAAAAATAAAATTCCAAGAAAGCAAGCAACGATTGGACTCCGACTCCTCTTTTCGGCTTCCAAAATTTCCCAGCCCCCGGTCCACCCACTGAACCATGGAAGAGGAGTCCGTTATTTCGGAAAATCAAAACTGCAAGTCAAATCCACCATGGTCACCGGAAGGAAAGTCCCATTCTAAAGTGAATGTAAATTGTTGTATCCCAACACCAAAAGGCTTAAAACCGCCGCCACCATTACCCATTCCCTTTTCTTCAATATCTTCACCTCTATCATATCTGGTACTTTTGTCCTCGTCAACAAGAACCTGAAAAATGATTCATTTAAGAGGTAGAGGGATACATGTAGTCCATCTGTTGAGCAAAAATTGTACATAATATGTAAACAAATAATTCACTCGACACAATTTCACCCTCATTCAGTTTTCCAAAGAGGGTTTTATTAATTCGAGTTCGACCCATTCTAGGCTACACGCCTATTAATTACAATCTTTCTTTTGGGAAAGAAATACCCTTTGATTCCAATTCGAAAAAAAATGTAACTTGAGGAATTTGATGTTTGTTTGATTTTGTGACTGCACATAGGTTGAACCCTAGATTGCCTACGTACCCTCTTGAGGGATCAAGTCACTCGTAGTTCATGAATTTGGTATTTATTTGGATTTGATGCCTTGTGCAGTTTTAGCTCATGCGGGCGAGGAGCATAGTGCCTTATGCAGTTTCAGCTCATGCGGGCGAGGAGCATTTGAAAATTTGATGTAGCTTCATGCCTTTTGAGATTTTTCTTCAGCTTCATGCCACTCGGGATTTGAGACTTTGATACAGCTTCGTGCCCTTTGAAAACTTTTGTTCGGCTTCGTGCCATTTTGGTATTTGATAGCAGGAGTGAATTTAGTTTATATAAACCAGGGATTCGTTTCGATTTCACGGTTGCGTCTAAAACTTGATATTAGACTGCCTACGTATCCTTAACGGAATCAAACCGGCGTAGTTCATTATCTTGATTTCATGGTTGTGTCTGAAAATTGATATCAAACTGCCTACGTATCCTTAAAGGAATCAAACCAGCGTAGTTCGTAAATCAAAGTTGTCTCCAATATTTCTTTTTGTTTTAAACGCTTGAACTTGGTGCCTCTGAGATGCAGTAGTGAACTCTTATTTGGCACACATGTTTGCCAAAGTGATACTGCCCATATGAATAATATGAGAAAGCTACTCTTTTTCTTCTTTTCGAGTTTCCAAATAGTATTCTCATCTAATTTGCAGCAAGTAAAAAAAAAACTACTCATGATCATGACTAATGTTTTGAAAGCCACGTCACATTCACATAACTTGATGGTGCTTTTCACTTTTTTTTTTTTTTTTCTTTGTTTGTTGTCAGGGGATAGGTTGTCATTTTCCCTTTGCTTTTCTGGGACCTTTGTCAGTTTGTTCCCATTCATTTACCAATTCCCATGTGAACCACTTTTCCTTGCTTTGTCAATTCCTACGTGAGGTGTTCAATTCAAAGTGGGACTTCCAAGGGTCTTGATGACAGCAAACTTTACTTTTATATATATTTTTTTTTATGTGGTTTAAAGCTTCCAAGCTCAGATAGATTTTTGGCTTCCAATTGCGGCAACTTTCCTCTCTTCTCCATGTGAGAAAACCCTCACATGATGGACTTCATTCATACCCCGTGAAATGTTTTAGAGATCCCTCCTTTCCTTAGCTCCCAGACTCGGTGGTCTCCGTCCCGAAACGGCAGGCAATCCCGATATACTTGGGTTCCGGGGATTTCGTTACATTTCAAACTTCTATTTGGATTGGGTGTTCGTGGATTTCAAAGTGAGAATGGGTAAGGTTTGTTGGAGCTCAAATTCTTTATTCAAATTCCTTCAATTTTACCTTTATTTCCCCCTCAAATTGCAAACCATTTTTATTTTTGCAGGTCACCAAAAAGCTTTCATTCTTTTCCTGCCGCCTTGCTCTTTGCCATTTTTTGTTTGTTCTTCTCTTTGTGGATCAAAAGCTCACCACTTTGCAGGTAGTTCCTTTATTTATTTATTTTTTCATATTCTGGATCTGCTTATGTATTTGGAGTGAAATAAAGCTCTAACTGTGATGAACTTGTCAATTCTTTCGTGCAGGCGTCCCGGGCAACGGCATCTCTTCGATTGGTTGTTGGACAAAACCATTTTGCAGCCCCGAGTTAGTTGAAGACAATTGTTGATTTATGGCTCAAAAGGTGAGAGTTTGCATCCTTAAATTCGTAGTAATGCACTCCTCGTATCTGCTGTATTTTGAATGAGTTTTGATGTATTTAGAGTGTAAGTATTCGCTGGCATTTTTGTTTCCACAGGGGAAATTATTTGACTGGTCTTGACAATGGGGATTTGGACACACTTTTTTGTGTTCCCATTCGTATTTCGTCTTGAATACTTGCCATATTTTCTAATTAACACTTGTACAAAGTAATGCTTTTCCCAAAATCTTTTGTAGTTTTGACTTGTCTTCTAGTCCATTGGGTGTTTTGCCATGTGAATGAGTTTTCTAAATAATTTGGCAGTAAGCTTCTCTTTCTTTGTAGACTTGGGACAACAAGTGTTTAATATAAAGGCTTTGAACCTTCTCTTTTTTTTTGTCCCATCTTCTCGTGGCAAAGAAGGCTTTGAACCTTCTTTTAAATGTTTGTGGCAGAAAAGCAGGTGAGAAATTTTGACGTGATGAAAACACTCTGTTCTTTCTTCACGTGACAAAGAAGGCTTTGAACCTTCTTTTAGCTGTTTATTCAAAGATTGGGAAATTTCCTTTCTTTCCTTTTTGTCTTGTAGTAGTCTTTGGTCAAGAGTTGTGTTTGAAAAACTTTTCTTCTTGTGGAATTGGACCAAGCAGGAGTCGGTCAAGGGGAGCAAAAGTTGCATTTTACTTCTTTTCCCTTGTTTATTTTGTCCACAAATGCATCTGTTTTCTCATTGGACAGCAAAGAATGACTTTCATTAGACCTTTGATTGGAACTTCACGGGGTGGTCTAGGCCACCCCGAAGAAATTCATGGGATTCTGGCAGCGGCGAGGAGCGGAGCCCTTTTGCGTTTTTGTTCTCTTCAGATTTAGACAGAAAGAAAACATGTGGCTGCTGCCATTTTTCTTTGGACTGCTTTGTGTTGTTTTTGCAGGTATAGAAGAGTAGTCGGACTACCATTTAAGAAACCTTCCCTACATAAAAAACCTTTTCCGGCAGTTTTCTTGTATAAACTGAAGGTTACTAGTTCTGAGTGTTTGGTTATGCACCCTTTTTCTTTACTTCCATCTGCAACACAACATTGAACTAGAGAAATAAAAATTAACAGAACTTATTTCATACCTGGTAATGAATGTTCTTCTTTTTTATCTTGACTCGAATGCACGAATGATTGGTCTCTTTGTTCTCTTTTCTGGCAGCAGTTCGTTGCCTTTTGATATTTCTCTCAAAGTTGCTTTTATTTTCTGCAGAGTTTCCCCTTCCTTTTTTCTGTCCTTTTTTTTTTTTGTTGTTGCAGCTGATGCCCATTTATAGGCATCATAGGAGGGTTCTAGAGCTTGTTACGTGGGGAGAAGATGGAGGGCATGACTTCCTGCCACTCTCTCTTAACCCCTCTTAACTGACCCCACGTTTTTTTTGTTGCAGGAAAGGAGGAACCTGTTTATTACTTCCCCCTTTTGTAGGAAAATTTTCCTTATTATTTTTTATTTATTTATTTATGGATATTTGGTTTGTATGTAAAGCCCATTCTTATCTTTTGGGCTGGTTTACATCCTTGTTTTGCCTTATAGCCTGACCCAATTTGTATGGACTCTATTTTTTTTATGTTGTATATTTTTGTTGTTCAACACCATCATTTTAGGTTTGTTTCTTGCAACAAAAAGCCAATATAAAAGGAAGATTAAAAAGAGCTTCGGTGGGATATACAGATCCCGTAAGCAGCAGCAATTTCACCGAACTTGGTCCTCTGCTTCTTGTCTATTCTCAACACTTTTATCTGGATGCCACTGCATAGCAAGCTTTTTGTACAGATGTTTATGTTAAGAATTTGGGAATTTTGATAGGCAGAGCGGCGAGAGTGTAGGCGTCGCTTGCTTTCCTGGAATTTTTTTTATCAACGCTTAAGTGTTACACCTCACCCTGATTTTAAAGGTAGTTTTGGGTTTTTATTTAAAAATTGTTTTTAGGGCCTTAAGTGTGCCCAAATGGCCCACCCCTTGATTTGTTCCTCGGTTCCCTTCCCCTTACCTTTCTTTTTCTAAATTTTTTATGACTCTCTCTTTCTCTCTCTCTCTCTCTTTCTTCCTCACTTCTCTCCCTCTCATATGTGCCCTCCCTCTCTGCAAACCCTCACCTCCCTCATCATCGTACCACATAACAATAACTAAGCACCATCACCATCACCCTTGCGAACTAAGATTCGAAGAAAGAACACCACAAACCCCTCTCTTCCATTTGGACGGTATTGTTGTTCATCGTCTTCCCCGATGAGTTTCGTGATTTTCCAACATTGGTAAGCTTCTAAAAACCCTTGGAATGTGTTTTAGGGTTATATCGAAGCTTGTTTTAAGTTGTGTACACGTTTGAATCACAGTAAAAAACTCGGAGTAGCTTTTCCAAATTTCTGGCGAGCACCGCCCCTTTCGAGGCAATTTCCGGCCAAACGACGGCGAGTTGTCCTGTGTGCAAGGTATCAATCTCTTCGTCTCACTGAGTACTACAAATTTTCTTTTTGAATCACTCGATTTGGTTGAGTAACGAAGAAGGTATGGGCGTTTGAAGTTTGTCCAGAAACCGGCCAAAACTTCAGCCTGGAAATGGGCCAACCTAACCCATTAACCCAAGGTCCAACCCATTTACCCAAGCCCAAGTCTGAAACCCAAACCCAAGCCTTTGGGCTGGATCACTAAGCCCAAGCCCATTTATTTTTAGTTTTGTTTTATCTTTATTCCTATTTAATTCTAAAGGCCCTTGGGCCATATCGGTTGGGGCCCTAAGCTCAAATCCGAAACCCTTAAAACCCTAAGCCCTTTTTCCTTTAAACCCAGCCCACCTAAATAGCTAAACCCTAAACCCAATTAACCCTTAAGCTCAAAACCTTTAGGTCTAACCCTGATTCAAGCCCAGACCCAGTTGGCCTAGTTTGACCTGAACATGGTCTGACCGTTGACCCGGTTAACGGTCATCGTTGACTTTGACCGGTCAATGTTGACTTTTGGGTTGATTTTTTAGGTTTTTGTTCAGAACCTCTCCTAGACTAATTTCGACGTCATGAACCCGTTTCCGATGTCCTTTTTCCTAAATTAAGTCGTTTGAGTATAGTTTGACTAAATGTATCCTTTATGTGCTTAGGGGCAATTATGTGTGGCGTTTCCTTCTTCGCTAGGTTGTGTGGCTTTTCAATGGCGAAGTACTGTGAGTGGACCCCTTCTAAAAATACATGTTTTAATAGTAGAAATGCATACATGAAAAACATGATTTAATGATTATGTTTTATGAAACGTTTTATGTGACAACATGCTTACTGATGCTATTTTGAATTATTACTATTTTTCCTATAACCCGTGTTCTTATAGAATATATGATGGATGACGATATGATATTTAGAACATATTTTGAACACCTCTTTATAGTATAGATGATGGATGACTTTATACTATGAAGTTGTTTTTCAATATATGTATGTTCAATGGTTTTATATTTACCTAGTGGTCCCTATTCCGTTACGGGACGTATGGATATATTATGATCCGTCCTAGACGACGATTTGGTGTTGGCATAGAGCCTGAAGTGTGTTTCCTCTGGCTATTAGCACAAGGACTGGGAGCCGGCATGGGACCTAAAGTGTATTTTCCTCTGACTGTCTGCTCAGAGACGGGGAGCTTGCATGAGGCCTGAAATGTTATTGGACATTCACTAGTGATTATTATATATACAAGTTATGATTTGAGACATTGCACGTATGTTTATCATGATATATATATGTTTTCATAAAATCTGAGGGTTAGTACTTAGTACGTTGAAAACTGTTTTAGTATATATATATATATATATATATATATATATATATCAACTTGGTCCACTCATGTTTGTTTTGCACCTCCTTCAGGACTTAGAATCGAGGCATACAATCCCGGCGTCAAGGCACTTCCGCATCGGCATATTCGAGTCCTCTCGGTGTAGGATTCATCCTTTGTTTCATTAAATTTTATATTATTCTTTTAGTGTTCTAGTTAGTTGTATGGTATGAACACGTTCCTTAAATGCATATTAATTATTATTTTATGTTTATAAGTCTTATCTATCCCTTATTTTCAGCATTTGCACTCAATAATTGGCTTTCGTCACTATCGGGTGTCGGCTAGCATGTGTCTATCCTGGTATTCGGGATAATAGGTTATTTGATTGACAGCTTTATCCTTGTAGAAAATGACCATCAAAAGACCACCCAATCATGTCTTGCCACATAATTAGTTATATTGCCAAAAACCTAAAATACATAAATGAGAAAGAAAAAAAGAGGAAAAAAACCTAAAAACCGATCAAATTATGGGGCTGAAAATGGAGGAGTTTCTGGCTTGAGCAAAGAAGACTTAATGTTGTGAAGGGTAAAGACCCCGCTTGCAAATGCCAATAAGAAGCAAGAATGGGCGTTCAAAAGCTTTCATTGCTGAGTTTGCTACAACATTGATATTCCTTTGCCACCAGCAAGAGCTTCCTCAGATGGGTCTTTCCATTCATCAACTACCCAAGCGTAATGGCAGTCAAGCAAAAGGCGTTTGGAAGGGGAATTTCACAACGTTGTAAGCTTGTAACGGAGACTGAGGAAGCAGTTGAGGACTCCATTATCTACCTCTACCACCTTCCTGTTTAATGATATTTTTTTAATTATCATAATTCTTTTAAAAGCAAAGGAAAAATTGGAGAATAAATATATAGGGTTATTTTGGAATAATGGTAGGTGGGAAAATAGTTATATGATTTTTTTTTCACTTTTTATGATGGGTGTAAATATAAGATGGGTAAGAAAATAAGACACTGGAGTGAGTATATCACCACTCTATTTTTTTTTTAGTATTTTGGTTGCTTGATTTGACTTATGCAGGCTGCCCCTGCAGCCTCATGGTTGAACATTTTAAAAGTCAAAACCAAAATCAAATCATTTTCTTATACTATGATTCGGTTTCAAATCAAAATCGTTTTAAGACTACAAAATCAAACTGTTCGGTGTGATTCAATTTGATTCGTGTTTTTATTTTGGTTTTCGATTTTTAGTGTCCACCCCTAATTGTAATCTCGCAATTCGGAAAATGGGTTATCCTTCAATATTAAATCCTTAAATGATGGATTTATAAGAGTGTCCCATCAATTAGACAATCAAGATTTGATTTTTGATCATTTTTACAAGTGTCCATCTATCGCAGTGGTGGAGATGAGTGTTGCATTACACCACAGTGTGGGTTCGAATCGTGTCGGCACTCTAATCCAATACCTAATCTAACAAATGTATTGGGAACCGTTTGGTACGTGGGACGAGACGGAACACAGTGGGACAATGCGTTCCGTCCCACGTTTAGTGCTCCTAAAACCAATGGAACGGGTTGTCCCATGTGACGAAATTTAGCTGATTTTTCGTTCCACCTCCCCCTGGAATGACTTGTTCTACTTCCATGGAACACACATTTATAACATTTTAAGACAAAATTTCCCCATGTTTTTCAATATTTACATCATCTGTGGAACATCCGTTCCGTCCTGTCCCTTCCCGTCCCGTCTGCGTACCAAACGGTACCTTGTTTAACAAAAACTTTTTTTTTGATAATTTTAGTAAATTGCCATGATGCAGATTAAATTCCAAACCATGACCATACCCACATAACAAACATTTGTATTTTATCCATCACGTTGGTCATCCATATAGTTTTTTGCTGATATAAAAGTGAGATGAAATAAATAAATAATTCGAGGCAATCATTTGAGAGAATGAATTTCAAATTAGGAATGAATGGACACTGCATGAGTTTATGAAGAATCTGGTTACCTATGTTGTCAATTTACTTTAAAGTAAAACCTCGATTGCCAACATGCTTTCAAAGAGTAGAATTCTTCCCCTCTTTTTTTTTTCCCTCTCCTATTTAAATAGTCACAATTAAGTTTCATCAACATCTTGTGTTAACTTTTTAATAGAGAGAAAAACAAACTAAAAGTGTTAAAAGAGCATAAAAGAAAAGGTCATAAAAATTGTAGGGAAGAGAATCTCACTCGTGCTTTCAGGCCATCCTATATATATTGTCGCTACTCTCCATCTTCACAAGCATGATCAATGATACATACTTGTCTGTCCCTTGACCATGTCTGTCCCTTGAGATTTATCTAATTTTCGTTTGAGGTATTCATCAATTTTCCCCCTGAACTTGTGACTATTGGCCAATTTCCCCCCTCAACTTTAATTTTGGCCAATTTCCCCCCTCAACTCTCATAATTAGTCAATTTCCCCCCTCAACTTTAATTTGGCCAATTTCCCCCCTCAACTCTCATAATTAGTCAATTTGCAACCAATTGTTAATTTATTTTTTTTTTAATTTTCCATCTATTCTTTTTTTTTTTCAATCTTTCTAATAACTTCCAACAAAGTACTAAAATTAACATAAACTCACTTGCATAATATAGGGTAAAATGTACAAAAATTAATAGTAATGTGATATGGGTTGATTATAAGAAAAAGTTATGAATCGGGTTTAAAGCATGTAAAAGAAGAAATAATAACAAAAAGACATAATAATCATAAACTCATGGATCAGACATATTTCAATAAATAGGTTATTCTTAATAATGAGTTAAAAAATTATGAAGTTGACTAGCCATTTTTTGCACTAAAGCTCGATTATCTGCAATTTACTTGAAACTTAGCTTTCACTTTTATAAAGAAAATTGTATTCACATACAAAAATGTACACATCAATCCTTTTCGTTATCAATTTTGTATAGTAAAAAATCAAATAAAATTACTCCATACTGATTTATTATGACTAATAATACTATCTATGATAAATTGTAAAATTCTAAATTTTAATCTATTTGTAATAGGATAAAGATATAGGAAAATGATTAACATACATCTTATTTAGTTTCTTACACACACTTGTTTAATTATGATCAAATTAAAAAATTAATAGTAGGGTGCAAATTGACTAATTATGAGAGTTGAGGGGGGAAATTGGCCAAATTAAAGTTGAGGGGGGAAATTGACTAATTATGAGAGTTGAGGGGGGAAATTGGCCAAAATTAAAGTTGAGGGGGGAAATTGGCCAATAGTCACAAGTTCAGGGGGGAAATTGATGAATACCTCTTTTCGTTTATATTGGTCTCCTGGGTTGGAAGATTTATTTTAAAATTACTATTTTGTCCGTTATGCACGTTCAACCGCCAACTATATATCTTGCATCCCCAAATGCAGGTCATCAGTCGGGGATTTCCACTCCACATATGACAAGCGATGACTGATGTTCCCTTTGATAAATGATTCTAGCTCCACTTTTGTATTTTCCATCAAATCCGTTAAGAAATTTGTTAATACTCTAACTGGCATGAGTGAGGCCCACTTAATTGCTGATGTTCCCTTTGATAAATGAGAATATTTTTGTTCATTACTCTCAAGTGATGATGATATTCTTTACTACCATATTCATCATCGTTGTATGAGTTTAAATTTCGAGATTTATATAATGAATAGACACAAATCTCAAATTTAAATGCATTCAATGGTAACAAGTAGGCTGGTGAGTATTACCACCACTTCGTGAGCAAAATGCACTCTTGATAAATTATACATTTCTCCTTTTTTGTGCACATGTTCTCTGTCAATAATTTTTTTCAGTGTGCCGAAAACGGCCCCTGTACAACAAGTGTCATATTATTAGTGGTTGGATCTTGAATAAACAAATTTAGGGTTAATTCGTTTATTACCCTGAAATTTCTTAATTTTCAACCTTTAGTACATGAATTTTTTTCGTCCCAGTGGTATCTAAAATTATAATTCTGGGACACTTTTATACATCCGTTAAGTTTTCCATCAGAACTTTCGTTAACTGATGATGTGGTGCCCATGTGGTGGTCGGGAGAGGTGAGGTAGGATGCCCAATTTTATTTTTTTAATTTTTAATTTTTTTAATATTCACGTGAGCCCATATTGACACGTGACGTCCAGTCATTATCCATGTTAGCGTTATGTCATCAGTTAACAGAAGTTCTAATTGAAAACTTAACAGATGTATGAAAGTGTCTCATAATTATGACTTTAGGTACTAGACTTGGACGAAAAAAAGTTCATACACCAAAGGTTGAAAATCAAGAAACTTCAAAATAGTAAACTGAGATTAATAAAAAAAATTAATGACTTGTACATAAAAATTTATCCCAACGCCTCTCCAACATTCTATTTATCCAGATTTCGGAGAGCAACTATCAACCGTTAGTGGGATAATGATTACTCAACTTCCAAGATATTTTCTGAAAACAAAATAACTAAAAAAAATTGAAAGTTAAAAAGAAAAAATAATTGAAAAAAAACTTGTTTAATACCAATAATTCGTTAAATAAGATAATTTTAATTATTTTATGTATTAAAAATAATTATTATATAATTTTAACTATGTATTTCCAGTAATAAATAGAATTCATGGATTCAACGGGTGAAAAGGTAAAGGCAAAATTGGGTTGGAGGAAATTAGGGAACACAATTAGGAGTCCACGACAGACAAACAACGATTGGAATCTGTACGTCCAACCAAGGTGGAGAGCAGCGGAGAGCCTCCTCCAGCCTTCTTCTGACGGCGCCGAGGCTTTCTCCTCAGCCACCGCCGCAACAGCCGCAGCAGCATCAGGATAAACGACCCCATCGCAGCCAAAGCGCCAACAGCAACAAGATGAAGGGATTATTCAAGTCCAAGCCCCGAACCCCCGCCGACATCGTTCGTCAGACCCGGGATTTACTCGTCTATGCCCAGCGCGCTCCCGATTCTCGCGAAAGCAAACGCGAGGAAAAGGTATCTATTTTCCATCTATTCAAAAAATCGATCCAATTCAATACGATCTGATTGAAATTTTGATCCGGTTCTCCCTTGTTTCTGTATTCTAGTATTCTGTGAAATCTTGGGAATTTGGGATTGTTCATGTTTTTTTTTTATGACCAAAGTTGTTTGGGATTGGTTGATGATCAAAGTTTATATTTTCAAACTTCTTTTTTTTAGCAACCAGGTTAAGGAATTTATTCATTCGGATTTCATTGAAAATTGGCGATTTTGAATTCTGAAATAGTTAAAATTAGTTTGTGAATTTCTTCTGTTTGAATTAGTTTGTTCAAATGCAATTTTTTTTTGTTCATCCTAGTTACTTCTTCGATATTATTTGTGTATGTGTTGAGCATTGAAGCTTATTGTGTATGGATTTTGTGAATGAGCAGATGTCAGAGCTATGTAAAAACATAAGGGAGCTGAAGTCGATTCTCTACGGCAATAGTGAGTCTGAACCCGTTTCAGAAGCTTGTGCCCAGTTGACTCATGAGTTTTTTAAAGAGAACACACTTCGACTTCTTATTACATGTCTTCCGAAATTGAACTTGGAGGTAAACATTCAATGCTTTTGTTCTTTCAACTTAAATTGTTTTGCCTACATTCTCCATTATCCGTTCTGCGTTTACGTTGTACAGGCTCGAAAGGATGCCACTCAAGTTGTTGCAAATTTGCAAAGGCAACAAGTTCAGTCCAAGTTGATTGCATCTGATTACTTGGAAGCGAACATTGATTTGATGGATATTTTGATCCAAGGGTAAGCCACTTTGCCATGTACTTTGCATACTTGGTCTCTTATATTGTAGTGTTTCTTTTTCGTTAGTACACTCTATTTGCAATGATGCTTTGAGCATTTCCAAATATTTCAATCATGGACTCTCAAAATTTAATTTAGAGATACAAGAGTGCGCTCATAGTATCTTCTTCTTATGTAATGGGTGCATTTATGAGTTCCTTTCCAATTTTTTCTCAGTCAAAGATCTAGTTTGGGGATTAAGTGGTTTACATAAGATGCTTTCACAAACGTGCTGATTAATTAGATTTTTTTAATGCTTTGGGGTTCTCAGGTACATTTTTTTTTATAATTTTTTTGCAGCTCACTAGATTAAAAACACGGCATTTATTATGTTCTTTGTGCATGGCTCTTCAAGTTAGAAAAATGGGCATGATCTCTATTCTTTTTTTTTTTTTTTTTCAAAACTGTGTATTCTTGTGTTATATAAAAAAGGGGTGGGAGATGAGGTTTTAAAAAGTATATCATCTTTTTTTTTTTTTTTTTTTTTTTTTTTTTGTTGTCAAATGATAGATTTTGTTAGATTAGATGTTAGATTAGCCACCGGCGGGGTCTAACCCACCCTGTTGTGCAAGCGCACAACACCTTTCCACCACTGTGGTAAAGGGTCACTTGCGTATATCATCTTAATTTGATTTATATTATTTGGCATCGTATTGTTAAAGTCCACATTTTGTAGGTATGGAAATTCCGACATGGCTCTGCATTATGGTGCAATGTTGAGGGAGTGCATACGTCACCAAAGCGTTGCAAGGTGAGCAAATTGAACTGGCTCATTGGTTAACTTTCGATTTGACTATGAAAGATGTTGTTAGGAGGTGGGATATGAAATTGTTTATCATTTGGATCATTTAGCAGCTAAAACCCATAGCTTTTATCCACCTCAATTGTATCTCATTTAACTTTTCTCTTGCGTAATTGTCTATTGAATTTTTTTTCTTTTGTTTGCAGATATGTTTTAGAATCAGAACACATGAAGAAGTTCTTTGATTATATACAACTCCCCAATTTCGATATTGCGGCAGATGCTGCTGCAACTTTTAAGGTTAAGTTAGTCTCACAGTATTGTCATGTGTTTATTTTCATAAAAGTCGTAACTCTTTTAAAGTTTACTCAACATTGTTGCACCCCTGGGTATAAACTGAATTCTCAAAATGATTCATTATGTTGTTTAGTCAATAATGCTTTGTCATGTGGGGAATGTTGAATATGCTATCTGTTTCCCTGTCCAATAGGTAGATTTTCCAACAGTACATTTATTGGTCCATAGTATTCCTATCTGAACTTTTACTAGAGCCTGATGCAGGTTCTAGTGTCGTTTGCTGATCTAAATAGAAGAACGACTTTTTATTATTACTTTTTCATTGTTCAATCAGTTGAGGATATATTTCATTTTTGTAAAGCTATTTATTCAACTCATGTACTTGTTGCAGTTGCACTAGAATTATTCTGATTTTTGTAACATCTCTATGCAGGAGCTCTTGACGAGGCACAAATCTACTGTAGCAGATTTTCTTTCCAAGAACTATGATTGGGTAGGGTTGCTTTTATTTATTTTTTTGTACAAATGCTTGTTTTCATGTATGTCCTTTCATCTGCATAGAACACATGCATGTGGGTAATAAGAAACGTGCATAAACAATTATTGATTAATTACATTAGAATTACTTCAAGTCGTACCCAGTGCACAAGGTTCCCGCTTTACACAGGGGCTGGGAGAGGTGAATGTCGGCTAGCCTTACCCCCATTTATGGAGAGGCTGCTCCCAAGTCTCGAACCCGAGACCTACCGCTCATGGGCGAAGGCACTTGCCATCGCACCAAGTGCGACCTCTACATTAGAATTACTTCAAGTGAAAAGAAAATAAGAACTGGGAAACAACTTACAATTATTACATGCTAATGGTCAATGTGAAACAATCGTTTGCACTTTTTGTTGTTTCTTCGGTTTTTATATTATCGTGGTTGCCAATTAACCAAAATTTGATATTTCCATCTTTATGACAGTTTTTCGCGGAGTATAACTCAAAGCTACTGGAATCACCCAATTACATTACCAGACGACAAGCTGTTAAGGTATGATAAATATTTGACCACAAATAGCTGTCTCTTACATAATATGATGCATGACCTTGAGGTGCTGATTGAAGTACCTTGTACTCTCTTGTTTTATCATGTTTTTTGAAATAAGCTGCATGCTTCTTATGATGTTGCTGAAGATGCTTCTCTATTAACTACAGTTGTTAGGAGATATTTTGTTGGATCGGTCAAACTCAGCTGTGATGACTCGATATGTGAGCTCAAGGGACAACTTGAGGATCCTTATGAACCTTCTCAGAGTAGGATATACTCTACTCTATTGGTTTTTGCTAATTTGCTAATTTTCATGAACTTTCCCCTCTCCCTCTTCCTGGCCATTGAATAGAATTAAAATTTAAGTTACGCAAGCCTTTGAACTTACCATTTGTGTTGCATTTGGTATACCTATTTCTTACATGCATAATTTTGGGGTTCCATCTGCAGGAGTCAAGCAAAAGCATTCAGATCGAAGCATTTCATGTTTTCAAGGTTTGGTTCATACATTTTGATTTGTTAATATTGAGGTTACTCGTGGTTCTTTTCATTAACATGTTTTAGTGTTCACAGCTATTTGCTGCTAATCAAAATAAACCCGCCGACATTGTGAGCATACTTGTTGCCAATAGAAGCAAACTTCTACGACTGTTTGCTGATTTTAAGATAGATAAAGGTAGATGGGAGTTTTTATTTTTTTTCGTTATTATGATTCACATTTGTCATTTTGGCACTGTGTTTACAATTTTTTCAAATGTTTTGTTGCAGAGGATGAACAATTTGAGGCAGACAAAGCTCAAGTAGTGAGAGAAATAGCTGCCATGGAACCTAAAGACTCATGAGGGAACTTTGTCATGTATGTGGATTCTTGAGTTTCTTGTTCTATTTGTGAATTTCAGAGTCTATTCAACGTTCAAATGAGCCTCATCTTCTATCCCCCTTGCTTCTTCCTGTGTAGTTGCCAAGTTACTACTTGTGTTTTTGCAAAAGGTAGATAAATAAATTGGTAAAATGTTCGATGTTGTACTCAAGGTTATCCCAATGTTTAAAACTTTTTGACCACGCATTAATTTAATGTGTTCAAATTCACTCGACTGTGAGACTAGTGTCGTATTATTTGCGTATAATAGACTTGAAGAAGATACTCGTATTTGAAGTTTGTATAAAACATTGCGTGTAACAGCGCGGCGGATTCCGTATTTAATCTAAAATTAGTAGGAATATGTTGACGTTTCTCATGATCAAAGCAGCATATCTTTTTGTCACGTTGAGAATACAGCGATCATCTTCTGGTTTCTCTGATTTGGGAACAGGGTTCCTCAGGTTGGCACTTCTTCCGGATTCCAATCATATGCTGTTATTACGAGACGTGTGAAATTGAGAATCACGGGCGAACAAGGAATAACGTACGCAGCATATTGGCATATTCTATGAATCTATCTCCCCCATCACAATGGCATTTACCATCAAATGACTATAATGGCCTTACCAGGAGAAGATGAGAGGTAACGATTCGTGTACTCACAAGAATACGACGCCCTATATTTGGTTTCACTCGTTCCGACGAGTGGGTCTCATCTAATTCTTTTTTATGCCTTTAATCGTCAAGTTTCTCGAAAATCCGTCAAACACGTTTGAAGTGGCATGCGTGAGAGACCTCATGTCTTCCTTAAATTAATATTATACAAATGTCTCGTGTGCAGTAGTGTAATTAAGCCTAATATCTTTATCTACTAATAAAGTTACCCGCACTCTCTTATCTTCCCATACACTTTTCACTAAAAAAATTGACACTAATTTAACTCTCTTATAAAATGATATCTAAGGACCAACTCAATAAAAAATTAAAAAAATTAAAAAAATCTTCTCTGTTTACCATCTCCCTAACTATCTCAATTCCTTTAAATAAATATGTTGATCATTTCCTATTCACCTAGTTTAATCATTCATAATAGTTGTTCAAACATTTTACTAATGAAATAGTTATTTAAAAAAATGAAAAATAAAATGGGAGACCAGAAGAAAGAATTGGACTGGAGGGGTGGGATTGGTTGTCGCAAATTTTGGAAATGGGGCATGAGGATGAAAATTTTAGGAATGCGAGGTTTGGTTGTGGGATTTGGGAGGGGAGAAGTTGTTGCATTGGGGTCTGGAGGGAGGGAAATAAGGAAGAAGAGTTGCAATTAACTCAAGATCTGGAAATCTAACTAGAATAAAAATCGGAAAGAGAGGCCTTGACGGCTAGCGAAGACCCGGCTAGGCTTATCAGCATTTTAATATTTATTTTTCTCAAAAACTAAAAAATATTTGTTATTAGAGGTTATTTTAAGAATAATAGTAACTAGGAAAATAGTATTTTATTTTATTTTATGATGACGAAATAAAACATTATAGCTACAGCAACATGGCATCTACATATAAAGTCAACACAAGAGGTGAATAGTATTTTTTGTGTCATCAAACTTCAACCCAAAAAAAAAAAAAAAGATAAAAAGGCCCCCAAGACAAAAAAATTCAAAGACATCCCAAAATAATGCAGAGGTATTTTTGTCATTTTAACAGTGCTTATTTTTAATAATTAATTATTTTGTACTTTTTTTTAATTAGTACCTTTCAATAGGCTAGCAATAATATGATTCAATCAATTGTTCATTCAATATTAGTTTATCTATTTTTAAACACATTCAAAACATTTTAAGAGGCGTGTAATGTCGGTTATAAAAAAGATCATTCGCACGTGGATAATAATGTGATTAAATTGTCAAATGATTTTTTTTTAACAAACAATATTATCTACACTAAGGGGGAGGAGTGGGCTTAGCCTCACAATAGACTAATAATAATGCGATTCAATCAATTGTTTATTAAATATTATTTTCTCTATGCTTAATGTAAATTTTATAGAGATCGATTTTATTATGTGGATTCAGCTACTTTAATTGGTTTATGAGAGGTTTCTTTTAACATGATCTAAGATTATTCATTTACTTCAAATATTTGACTTTCCTTTTATCAATTTACGCATATAACGCGTAGCAAGAATAAGGTATTTCACATGTAGATAATAATATGATAAAATTAGTTGTCAAATGATTATTTTTTTTTAACAAACGATATTATCTACACTAAAAGGGAGGAGGTGGGCTAAGCCTCGCAATGAATTAGCAATAATGTGATTCAATCAGTTGTTTATTAAATATTATTTTCTTTATTCTTAATGTAAATTTTTTAAAGACCGATTTTTTTATGCAGATTCAGCTGCTTTAATTGGTTTGTAAGGGGTTTCTTCTAGCATGATTTAATATTATTCATTTACTTCGAATATTTGACTTTCCTTTTATCAATTTATGCATATAAATACATTTAAAACGTGTAAATTACATATAACATACTGTAATTTAAAAATACCTACGCGTGAGCACATGCCTGCATGAAGGCTAGTATATACAATTGAAGCGAATCTGGTACTACACTCCAAGTAGTAGTTTCCTATTCTTTCTCCGTATTTTATGTGGTGCAGGATGTCTCTTTGGCTTCATGTACTTTTCCGTTTTCTTCCTTTTCGATCTGGACCCATTTGATCATTATATATACAAATTAACGGAAATTTCCGAAGCTATATGGACAGTGTCTCCCCAGACCCTCATCCAAAAGGAACAGAGAAATGTTAAGTAGCTCTCAAAAGTTGAACTCTTTGTTATTTTATATTTAATCTTAATTTGTACTACTATTATAAAACGTTATACCGAAAAGAAAAAAAAAGATGGCAGAGGGTGAGGGTTCTTGGAGACTCCCGTTTTTCAGAGAATCCATTTAGTATTTCTCAAAATGAAACCACACATGTTTAGAACTAGCTCGCTCAGTACTAAGGTTTGATGATATTTATCTTCCCTTGTAAGTGAAGGTCTTAGTTTCGAATCACGTGGATGACAAATTCAATACCAAATTAGATTGTCTATTATGTGGCTTCTGAACTCTTCCCCTTTTAGTATAAAATATATCGTTATACTCAAAAAATTATTATTAGTGACTAATGGAGGGCAAATTATGGGTAAAACAGTCATACAAACAGATCCCCATTTGTATGCCGTAAACGATTGGCCCATATATTTAATTTAATTATTTAATCAGTTTCAATCACCTGGTAGCTTGAGGAGCTACGTGAAAAGCTCGAAAACTGAACACATATCCCTCGACCCCATCACTCTTCAAAGTCACCCGCCTGTCTTCCTTAAATTATTTGAAGTGACATGCGTAAGAGAGGTCTTGTGTTCCTTAAATTGATGTCATACGAATGTTTCACTAACAATTTTGACACTATTTTAACTCTCTTATAGCTAAGCACCAACTCAAAAAAAAAAAAAAAAAAAAAAAAAATCTCTGCTTACCATCTCCCTGCAACTATCTCAATTCCTTTAAATAAATATTTTTATCATTTTCTATTCACCTAGTTTAATCATTCATAATAGTTGTTCAAACATTTTACTGATGAAATAGTTACTTAAAAATTTGAAAAATAAAATGGGAGACCACAAGAAAGAATTGGACTGGAGGGGTTGGATTGGTTGTTGTAAATGTTGCAAATGGAGGCATGAGGATGAAAATTTAGGAATGCGATGTTTGGTTGTGGGATTTGGGAGGGGAGAAGTGGTTGCATTGGGGGTGGGAAGGAAGGAAGGAATAAGAGTTGCAATAGGCTCGAGATCTGGAAACTGATTGAATTATAGAATTATAACTAGAATAAAAATCAGGAAGAGAGACTTTGACAGTGAGCGGAGACTTGACTGTGGACTTATCAACACTTTAATATTTATTTTTCTAAAAAAATTAAAAAATATATTCAAATATTATTAGAGGTTATTTTAAGAATAATAATAACTAGAAAAATAGCATTTTATTTTATTTTATGATGAAGAAATAAAACATTGGCATAGCTACAGCAAGCAAAATGGCATATACTTTATGCCATAAACGAATGGCCCATATATTTAATTTAATTATTTAACCAGTTTGAGTCACCTGGTAGCTTCATTCAGGAGCTACGTGAAAAGCTCGAACACTGAACACATCGCCCCCATCACTCGTTAACATCTCCTAGACTCCTAGTATCACTCAATCTGCATTTGCTTCTCTCATCAGACCGTAAAAATGGCGGAAAATGGTAGATTCTCTTCATATCGTTTAATCTCTAATAAAATTCTCCAATTTATCTCATTCATCTTTTTTATATAAATTAATCTGCAATTTGTTTTGCAAAATCTGGTGGTGGGTTGTAGATTCTCTTGCTCAGTTCCTCTCCTCCGCCGTTGATGCAGCCAAGAAAGCCGGCCAGGTCGGTCCCCTCGGCTCCTTTAACTAATTTTTGTTTCATCTAATTTTTACTCAGCAGTAATTGAAACAAAGTGTGCAATCTGTGTGCTGTATGATCTCATTGCAGATAATTCGAAAAGGGTTCTACGAGACCAAGCATGTGGAGCACAAAAGCCAGGTCTTTTAACTTGTTTTTCTTCTTTTTTTTAGTTGTTTAATCAAATGGGTGTTTGGGTAATTGGATTTTAGAAGTATAATTGCTGATTCAATGTTAGCGTAATAGTTTTAAGTGAAAGATTTAAAATTTGATTACTTAACAAGCATCGAAGACATATTGGTTAAAGAGTTTCGAATAAGTTTTCGCCTGTGGCAGCCAAATGCTGCATTGAATTAGAATATGAATGGACAAAGTTAGAATATGAATGGACAGAGTTATATCATGTGGTTTGAGATAGCTCACTGTTGGATGCAAGATATAGCAAAATGAAATTTCATGATCAAAACATTACTTTTCTGTTAATCTTCCAATCTGTTGGGCAGTGCAGGTGGATTTGGTCACGGAAACTGATAAGGCATGCGAAGATCTAATATTTAATGATCTCAAGCAGCTTTACCCCACTCATAAGGTTAACTCTTCATCCCGATGTATCAGCAGAGTTCACCATTGGTGCTTAGAATAGCATTGTATCTCCTAAGACTAGTTTGTTCTCTACATGCTCTGAATTTTCTTAGTCGGTGTTAATTTTAGTTCATTGGGGAAGAGACTACTGCTGCTAATGGTGTAACGGAG